TAAAAAATGAATGGCGAAGGAATTACGACTTAAAAAGAGTCACTTCCGAAAGACGCCGAATAACAACGGCCAATCAGAGCTTAGATTTGCAAAAAGCAAAAACAGCCTTTAAACACTAACTGATATACAGTTGTTTTCATTCTTGCTCAATTTCACATCTTGCATTCAAAACCTCCTCTCTCCAAAAAAAAATAAATCTGCTGAATTCCTCAAAAAAAAATCTAACTCAGATTTCCCAGCAAAATGACAAATCCAAACAGTGAACTAGAGGAAGGTGAACTAATGGACCAAGATCCTGTTCTAACCACTCTCGAGGAAATGCTTAAAGTGAGTACTTATTAAAAAATTTTGCTATCATTCACCACCAAAAAATAAATTTGCAAAAAATTTATTTGGTTGGCCTTTTAACTCTAATAATACTTTCGAATCAAACCTCAGCATTTGATCCGAAAGAACAATTGTATGCAAATAGTGCAAATAATCTTCGGGTTGCTCATTATGATTGTCAACTAATGACTTCTAACAAAATGTTCTCTCTAAATAAAGTAGCACCTTGCAAAGTCCAACCAGAAAATATTAAAGTAACCCATGCTTATGTTACTCTATATCAGAGACATTATCGCACAAAAGTAAATGCGACAATGTGTCGAATCAAACACCAATCAATGCGTTGGTTCTGCGATTCTTTTGATTCGAGTGGTATCGACGCTCGACACAATATGATCACTACTGATCTCCATTTATCTGCCGATCAATGTAAATCGGCCGCCGACAGAGGCTATCTTAACCTAGGCTATGCTAGTATTGGAAATATTCCTTTCAAATTTAATGTTAAAACAGTAACTAATGCCCATGCTGGCAAAAATGACGGCAAACATCATAACGAATGTGATGGCCGTTCTTGGATTAAATTGGACACTTTTGAAACTTACATGCAAAATGTAACTCTGGCTGTTAACCTCAAAGATGGAACAGTCAATAATTGGCAAAACATTCCTTTGCCCTGTCCAGTGTCTACAAATGGATGTAAGACGCTTTTGCTTATACTTGGGGAGAACCCAAAAATTGCATTTTCACTGTTTTAAACAGATTTCCGGCTAAAGAGATTCAAAACGAAAACTCATACTATATAAATAAAGGCAATTCTAGCCCGTCTATTCATTCTACCCAAACAAGGGATTCTCAAAAATTCATGCTACAGGTGATGAATAAACCGCGATCTCTTTGTGGTCATCCCAGAATAGTGTATCCAACTTCATATGATTCACTTTTTATTGCATACACTGAAGGCTTCAATATGGATACTGGAATCCAAGTTAAACCAACCCCAGAAACGGGAACTATTCATAATGCCGGCCAACCAAATTCTACTTTTCTTGCAACAAGTGATGATTTGCCGCCATTCAAATTTTCAACTCATTAAATTGACTACGAAGCTCATATAGGAACCAAATTGGACTATATTCTTTTTTATAGCTTCTACATGCTCAGAACGGCCGAGTTAGCCCTTCTGCAAAATCAATGTGAGCTAGAACGCTCCTCAATATTATATACTTTAATGCTTTCACTTGAAAGCCCACGTTTGGCTGGCTATATTTTAACTCAGAACCGCTCTATGTTCTTAGAGACCAATGGCAATGTTGCCTGGCTCTACCATTGTCCGAAATTTTATTCACCTTTGCAATTAATTGATGAATGCTATTATCGCATTCCCATTGTGTATGAGGAAAATGTTCGATCTGTCGATCCAATTAGGCGACAAATTTTTCAGTCGGCAGATCTACAAGACTGCTCCGACAAACATTCAAATCTCTTTCAACTAGATGTTGATGATGATAAGTCCTGGATTGAATTAACCCCTCAAATTACAAGGGTTGCAGGACCATATCTCTTTAAACCAAAAGAGATAGTTCAACAGATTAAGTATTCTTTAGCCTCTAGCCAAGGCGCTTCAATCTACACTTATGCTCAAATGCAAAAATTCTGGAATATGATTTCCGATAATTCAGAGATGAAAGGAATACTACAAAAAGTATCCAGGTCCTTTCTAAATGCTAAAAAATTTCTTTTCACGGACTCATATAGCCCACTAGGCTCTTCCCAAACAATATATTTGGACTATCTCATCTCTCCAAACTTTTGGAAAAACGAAAACACCCGTATATTCGGAAAAGTACAATACTATTTAGAAAAATGCGGAATAGTTTTCGCCTCTTTTCTATTTGTGAAATTCATACTAGATTGCCTAGTACTCAAAATAAAGGCTATGCATATTCACAAAATCAGCGGCCGCTCACTACGCTTTGGCAAAGTATTGCTTGCCGCTTCATATAATATACTTTTCACTTCCATAGTGAACTCAATTTTCACTCAAGATGAGCAAACTGAAAAAATTGAACAAGATTGTGATCAAAAAATACAAGCCCCTCTTTTAGAGGAAAGTGATAAAATAAACCAGGATCGCATGTATCCTCACATCCAATTAACAAGTTTCGAGAGAAGAACTCAAAACTTGGATCACCCAACAAACCCATTCTAATAAAAAAAAATTCTACTGTTCTAGGATATACCAACTGATTCAACTATGGACGCAACGCTTGATGACGACTTGAGAGATTTTGAGGACCTTCTCTCACTTCTGCCACCAACCGATCCACTGGACTCGCAGATTTCAGCACTCACTAAACAACCAACTGTTTCTACTACTACAACCCCCACTGCAAAGCCGACCTCAACACGATCCTTCGTTGAGCCACTACTTCAAACCAATTCAGCTGTCCCAATAACTACAGCATCAAAGCCACCAACCCTAAAAGTTTCACCCCCTGATTTCAAAATACCCCTGGTTCCTTCGAATTCTCGAACTATAAAGCGAACCCAGATTGTGAGACCATATAAGATACTAACGGCAAATACGCCGGTATCAACTTCTCAATATCCAATGACCATTAAGCGACAGCCCTTGCACCCCACTGAATTAAACACTAAATTACATATTCAGTTAGAAAGGGAACGATACATTAATTCTAACAGTAATCCCGGCTTCGATATGGATCTCAATTATGCTTTAAAACCATTAATCAACCGTTTTAAATTAGAAGCCTATCACCCCATAAAAAAATGTACTCCATAACTAATTCCCTTCTTGGATATCAAAAATCTATGTCCCAGCAAAATATCTGACAGCAAAATTACAAACCCCCCAGTTAGATGACTATACTGAGCAAATTCAGCGCAGTCATATACATGAAACGCATCAAATCCGGGAGCTGAAAAAGCAAATCCACAATTTGAAAACAAAAAATCACCATCTTATAGCCCGGTTGGAAGGAAAATTGTAAAAATTTATCCTTTCATTTAAACATTTATTCTTTCGCTTTATATAGCTATGTAGTATAGCTATTAATTTTGCCTTTCTCAACAATTTTGACTTTTATAAAAAACAAAAAATACCCCCTTTGTATGAAGCAGTCCTCCCCTTATTACGCATATGGACATCCACTTCACATACTTCAGGACAAAAAGGAGACATCGGAAAAAAAATGTTCAAGGAATGATAATATTAAACTGACCTGCAAACTTTTGAGAAACAAATAATTTTGATGCATTTAATTTTATAGTTAAATCTCTTGGTTGTGTAAACTCTATTTTGAATTATAAATGTAACTGATGTATTTATATTCATTCAAGCCTGACTCAAAGTATCAGTTGTTCAATAACATCTGCTACCTGTAATACCAACAAACTATTGAACCAACTTTATGAGATTGAAAGAAAAAGCTTCGATCGATCAACAATTACCCCATTATTCAAGAGAAAGTAAAAGAATGAAACTTTTAGTTTTTTTCCTCTCCAAACAGGAGGATGGATATGTTCTGATTTCAAATAGAAACAGAAACATGAATTATTTTATTGCGTTCACAAAATGTGACGCCGCCACTACCACAAAAGAATTATGTTTTTATTCCCTAGAAAAAGGAAGGGAAATGCTATTGGAATAATTCGTATAACGTTTTAAGCATTGAGAATTGAAACGACTATTCTCGTTCAATGCGAATAATAACGATTCCTCTCGTAAAATACGAGCATACGAAACACTCTTCTCGTAAAATACGAATGTACGAAAAGAGAATACGAAATTAAGAAGTAACCTCTGATTTGATACAAAAAAGTGGTACGATTTCCCATCTGAGTATAAATAGAAGCTCAAAACTACGGAAATTCATTCCCAACAATTTCTCTTCTAACACCACAACCTCTCTCTCTAATACTCCAACAAAATCTCACCAAATACCAATACTCTCTCTTCAACCACCCCAAACATTCTCTAAAATAATAGCCAGTCTCAGCAGTAAAAATATCTCTAATCTCACCGTTAAAATAAATATTGAGTCAAAAGGTAACTTGCTGTAAATTCATACTAACTTCTTTTCTAATAAAATATTTCTCAGCGAATTTTAGATTTACTTTCTAAGATAGAAAGTAGAAAGGACCCTTTATTCCTAGCAAGCGTTTTGTCCGGCGCACATAGTGTTGCTAGCTCAGAATAAATTGGTGCGACCAGTGAGGCTCACCTTCTAAAAATTCGCAAAAATTGCTAAAGTCTCAAAAAGAGATAAAAAGCAAAGAATCCAATTCTCAAACTGAAGAATTGTTGAAATTTCTCTTACAAATAGAGAAAAGTAATAAATTTCCAAATCGGAAATTTAAGTTTTCTAAGTAAATTTACAAACTTTTTTTTGTATCTTTCTTTTTAAGTTTTAAGCTAAATCTAATATGGCTGATACCTATATGCCTAAACGGACAAATCGTCCTACAAACTTTTATGGAACTACAATTCCATCTAGTTTAATTGGCAAATTTAAAAAGAAATAATAACCACTAACTATTTATTTGGCCAAACTCAATATCTTTTAAATTCTTTCTATTGGCCTTTTCTTTTTTTCTTTTTCTCTTTTATAAATGTTTTGTTTGTAAAAAAACCACAAAAACACCAAGAATAAACATATTTACAAATAGATTTAAAAATAAATTTTATACAGGTTAGACTTTTTATCCGTGTAGGATTTGATTAGTTTAACAGCCGCCATCTTTTCCAGAGAATTTTCAGCGGCCCTACTCAGGCTCCTCACTGCAAACTGCAGCGCTGAATAAGGCCGCCACCAAGCTTGATAGATTTCTTCTAACATGATGTGCAGCTCTATCTTTTTCCTAAAATCTTCTTCTGTTGTTGGTTTTCTGAAGAATTCTTCTTGAAACTAAAACAAATTTATATACTATTTCTATGTTGTCATGCCACTTGAATTAAAAAAAATTTTATTTTTTATTTTTAAAATTGGGTGTATTGTAAAACAAACTTACATCCTCTCCAAAGAATAAGGACAAAAAGTCCATTGTTTCTTTTGAAACCACATTGTCTCCACTCCATGGGCTCCATAGTTTCTTGCCAAGGAACTTACTCTGAATTGAGCCCAGCTCGAATAATTCCTCGGCATTCAGTACCGGATACTTAAAAACATAGCTCCGGTCCATAAAAATCATAAACTCCATAGGCGTTAAGTTTACCCCTTTCTCTACTAGCCCATCGTAAATTGCCACCCTTCTCTCGACTTCCTTGTCCTCCAGCAAGGCTTCATGTTCATGTGCAAGGCTTCAGGTATGTCGAGCTGAAAGCGCGGACTGTCTGTAGCATGTGTATGCCTTTTGTTTACGCTAATCTGAAGGAAACGTGTCATATCAATATCGTGACGGCCTTCGAGGATGTTAGAGAGGAAAAGAAGGTCAACCAGTTGTAGATATAATGATAATGGTAGCAGGTTCGCCTCGCGCAGGGATTTATCGTGCGCCTTGTCGCCTATTGCCTAGCGGAAAATCTTCTTTTGGAAGCCTTCCAGCTTCCTCAGAGAAATCGTGTTCGCGAACCAACACTGCAACGCGATGGTCATCACAGGAAGGACCATGGTCTTGTAGATTTTAATCTTAGCGGAGGCGTTCAGGTCATTGCTGTTCCTGCGAATCATATGGAACACCTTGTTCGCTTTAGACATTTTGTGCACGATGTGGGAATCCCATTTCAGGGAGGAACTTACGAGCAAGTCGAGGTCCGATTGTTGATTCACGGTCTTAAGCATACTGTAATCCAGAGCGATACTGGGACGCGTACTGCTGTTTGAGTCGCCGAAAGAAATCACTGCGCATTTACTGGCATTCACGTGCATGTGGTTGGAGTTGCACCAGTCGTCGAAGGCTGAAACATCATCCTGTAACCTTGTAGGGTCATGTGAGAGAATTTTGCTATCGTCAGCACACAGCAACACAGGGTTATGTGAGGAGTCCAGAAGGTCGTTGATCTGGACCAAGAAGAGGAGGGGACCGAGGAGGGATCCCTGAGGCACGCCACTAGTCACACATACAACACGAAACAGAGTCACTAACCCTCACAGTCATCACTCTGTTAGACATATACGATCGAATAAGTCGCCCAAGTTTGCCTCTGACGCCGACGTTCCAAAGTTTCTCGAGGAGGATCCCGTGGTCGACCTTGTCGATTGCATACACAACTTCGAATTCATCATCTCTTGCCGTAGAATTGTAAGCCTGATTCAGGTAAACCAACATCTGTATCACGCTGGAACGCCCTCTGCGGAAGTTGTACTGCGCGTTGTTCAACCAAGGCTTCAAAAAGAGGTAGAGGTCTATGAACACACAGCGTTCCAGTACCTTCGACGGAATGCTGAGTAATGAACTCCACGATCGCCCCTTTTTGTAAATAGCACAAACCATACCAGTTTTCCACACATCCGGAAAAATACCAGTTTGCTTGTTCTAATACAAGACTTGGCTCAGGGACTTCGAAAGCTGTTCCGGGATATTCTTTAGTAAGCAAGCAGGAATCACGTCAATGCCGCCGCTTTTGGAGATGTCTAGGTCTTTAAGAATATGGCTTATCCTTTCGCAGCTGGTGTCAAAGTCTCTGATACTAGTCTGACCCCTCTTGGTCCTCTCGAGGTCGCACGAGTAGCATCCGGATGACTTGATGAACACGTTGCGGCGAAGTATTCGGCGAAGAGAGAACCTTGTCAGGATTGTTGGTAGCCTTCGATCACCGAGAGAAAGAATGGAGAGATATTCGCGCTGCTTGGTTTTTCGAGAGAAGTGGTACCAGCGTGGTTGTGACCGCGAGTCTGCAAGTCTCTCCTGGTAGTCCTTGCGGTCTTCTTCCACTGCGAGGTCCACCTCGATTTGCAGTCGCACGGTGGAACTGTGGAGTTCACCTTTGTATCTCCGCTTAATTTCTAGTCTGTTCAGCAGGTTAGAAGTCTGAGGTGAGATCCAAGGAGGTAGTCGCAATGTGCGACGGGGTACTGTTCTGTGAACCTTCTGGCAAATCCAGTGATACCATTAGTTAAGCAGAACATTTGGATTTGACCAGCAATTGCCAGTGTAGGGTTGCCTGGCAATCAACTCTCGAAGGGAGTCGTAGTCGGCTCTGCAGAAGCTCAAGTTCGCGTGCGGGATACAGTCGATACGGATAGCACTGCCAACTGTCAATTCGAACGCAGAAAGAATCGGGAGGTGGTTGGACAGCGTGTGGTCACCGTCTCTGTGTGGAGGTGATCGATCTGGCCACCGGTACAAACTAAATCGAGGATACGAGACCCCCGAGTGTCGCTATCAGCCCACTGAGCAAGGTCGCCGTCCACGAGGGTGTTCAGGAAGTGTGTCTCATAGTCATCCTCGGAGAACTGGGAAGCCGAATAGATACCCGGTAGGTTGAAATCACCTGCAATGAGCCTTGCAGATGCAGGTTCAGCGACCATGGAGACGATGGTGGAATGAAGATTCTCGATGGGGAGGCGGTAGACTGCCCACTGGCGGATTGTAAATGCAGCCGAGCAAGATGCGGTGGCTGCCGATGTGCAGGAGGCAGTCGATAGCCGCCCCCGGAAGGTCCAGATCGAGGTTGGCAGCAGTTGAGGTTCCACATGAGTTGCTGACAGCAACAAGAACACCGCCATGGGAGGAAACTCCGGAGGATTTCTCAGAGCGATCCGACCTGTAAAGCGTGTACCCGTTGAGAAAAAGCTCAGAGTCCACAAAGTTATCGGTCAGCCATGTTTCAGTCGGAAATAAAAACGTCTGGGGAGCGTACGGCCACAAGGCTAGCGAGGGATGTTCTGCGGTCGAGGTTAATGAGACTTCTGCAGTTTAGGGTCAAGCATCGTAGCTGAGGCGTGCATTGGTTCTGCGAGATTCCACGGTCTTCGTGATCCCATAATCAGGATGACTCTTGTCTCATCGTGAGGTTGCAGCGCTGCTTCAGGGCCCCACGATGCACGATCCACATTTTGTTTTCGTCAGTCTCCATGGCATTCCTCCGTCTTCTCTCTTCACGCAGCTCGTACTGTTCTTTGTCCTGTATTGGAGTGTAGCCAGGTCCTATGAAGACATCCCTGTAGGTATCGCCAGCTGATTTCAGTTTGCGGACAGATCTGAGAACTGAGAGGCGATTTTTCTGGTCTTTTAGGGCAATGATGAGGCGAGGAGGCCGGGAGTTCCTTTCACGTGGTTCGACCATTTTGACAGATTCGACGTTAGTATTTATGTTAATGTCTTCCAGCATCTTCATGACAGCATCAACACTGTCGCCAAATGGAACATCCATGCCGCGTATGCACAGGTTGAGTTGTCTCTTTTTCCGTTCTGAGTCTTCTTTTGCCAGAATTTCTTGAGCTTGTTGCGCAATCCGTACTCCTTTCATTGCTTGGATGACTTCCTGATCTTTCCGTTTGTTTGAGATTGTAGCAAAGGAGAATGGCTGGGTAGATGGGATCTGAATGGCTTTCTGAATCTGCCTCTGCACGGTGTCCATCATTTCTGCTCGGAAAACGTCGAGGGTAAGCCGGACTTGAGCGTGTGAGTTTTGACTGTCAGCAGTTGTTTCCTTGAGAGCCGTCAATTCATCACGGATGACATTCAGCTGCTCCGTAATAGTGCGATGCTTTTTCACCTCTGACACTGCAAGTTTTAACAGGTAAGCTAGATTTGCTTTCGTGCTACCAGCAGCCGTGTTGATCGATGCGTCCGTTGCAGTTGTAGATTTCGTGACAAGTTCCTCCATAGAGGGACAGTATCCTTTGTCTGAGAAAATTTTATCCAATTCTCCGACCGAGTCGAGCCTTTGACGAGAGTCACCCATAGCGCCCAGTACTCCTCGGTGTCGACGAACCACTAAAGGTTCTTATTCCTGGGCCTTTTTCTTCTTCCCTCTCTTGGTCTTCAAGAGGGCGGAAAGGTTGTCGCTATACCGGAACACCGTCTGTCCCCGGTACAGCTGCTGAATCGATCTGAAGAGTGAACTAGCGCCGATAAGGTGCATGAGCTTCACCGGGCTTCTAAAATCCCCAAAAAAGAATGGATCGTCTTCATGCCCGGACTTCCACCATTACGACAGAAAAGCGTGACAAGAAAGCTATCCAGAATCTATAAACTACATAAGAACTAAAATAAGCTTCGCGCTCCTGAGGAGCTCTATAGTTTGTATAAAGGGGTGCAGATCGCTACGCAAAATTCAATTTATCGACAACTCCATAAGCGCTATTGTAGAGGAAGGACGGCTAAGATAAATTAACATTACGACGATGCATTTAATGCTGATTTATGACTTCATTGCTGATATATATGCATTTTTATATCGCTGGTATGGCCCTATCCAGCTTGTGCACTTACCGTAACTAAACGGAAGGGCCCCTTTTGAAATTTAGTTTTTTTTATTACGACAGAAAACTATTTAATAAGTTTAAAACAATAATTATATATACATAAAAAAAGCACTGATAAACTGACTTCTTTTCTAAAGCAACTAAAATACCATCTTTTCAAAGAAATTAATCACAATTAACGAGGTAGTTCAGCAGTTTTGCGTAAGCACGTTTTATAAAGAAATTGTAACATTCGTCTACTGCAGTCACACATGAGGCTTAAGAAAAATAGGCCCTATAACCATTGGCTCAAGAGTCAGGGACACTATCTCTTGTGTTTTTGTACCTCAAATCAGTCGGAGCCAATTCGGTTCGCTTGCGACATGAGACTACGACCCATTACAGCTTAAAGGCTACTACTAAAATATCCCCCCACTCTAGAATTAGAAACGTCCCCATACTTAGGTCTCTAGATACCCAAAATACATGAACGCCGTTAAAAACCGGGTTGGAACAATCCGTTATGTTACTTTTTATTAGACAGTGGAACTTTGATCCATTTCAGATGGATCAACCTAAAACTCGCCTTACCTCAACATAACAATTATAAAACACACTCTAGAAATTTAAATTAGTACTCACATTGTAGCACGCTCAAGAACCAGGAAGTAAATAAGTCGGTAAGCAACTCAAGAATCAATAAAGTAACTAAAATGAGTTTAATGTTAGTCAGTTTTAATAACAAGAACAAGTTTGTACTCTAGACTGTGAGTTCTCGTGAACCATTGGGACACTCCAGCTGTCCACCTTTCCACCGAAGGTTCACTCTGGTCCAGTTAATAATAGTACTCCAGTCACAACAATCCAGTTCGTGGGAATGCGCTCGTCTCTGTTTCAGATGGGACAGCTCTACTCTCGATTATTATTGCTACTGAAATTGCGAATAGCAATTTCCCACTGATTTTTCTAGCAACTTTCCCGCGATTGTCACTCGATCGTTCTGACTTCTCTTTTCTGATTTTCAGTTATCGCGCGAAAATCGTGCATGACAGGTTCCATTCGAAATTTTGAAAAACTAAATTTCACTCCAAAATCAAGTGTTTTTTGCTTCTCTCAAGGTCAAACTTCCGAATATGACCGACTGGCACAAATGAATAATGATGATGACTAGCTTTCCAGAAAAACCATTACCAAAACCCAATCACAAGAAGATCTGAAAGTCAAAAAAGCACAAAAAAGACGCTGTTTTGGCCGAAACAGGTCAAAAAAGCCGTTTTTTGACATTTTTTGAAAAATTTTGACAAGAAAACCACGTTTTTTTGGCGCGTGCTCCCCCTCAAAGTTGTATACATTGGCGCCAAATGCACCTTTAGAAAATTTTTAGGGTCCATCGGACAAAAGTAGATTTCTTAAAAAGTACCACAGGAGGGACCCTATGGGTCGGCAGGGCGTCGAGTCCCTAAGAAGAAGAAGGCGCGTCCGCCCCCTCCCTAAATCCGCCCCTGCTTATCGGTAAATGTACCCAAAAACTTTATCAATCCAGTTCCATGCTTATGTTTGTTTTTCTTCAAATTCAAATTTTGGAACGAGTAAAGAAAAAAATGTGCAAGTAATACTGATTTACACAGACAAATTAACTTAGCCAGATGCACTGATTGAACAAAACGTATCAATGTGTGCCATTCGGACGGATTGGCACAGCGTGACCTTCCGGCGGGACAGAAAAAAACGAATAAAGGCCTTAGTAACGAAAAATGGGTGCCGGACAGGGATTGCAATATATTGAATGATCAGATATTGAATATTGAGACGATGTCAATATTGAATTTTTAATATTGAGATATTGAAGGCTAGATATTGATATTGATATTGAATTTTTTGTAGATATTGAGAAAAACGGATTTTGTATCATTGCTTGAAACGTGACGTTTTAACACATACACATAAAACAAATGGTGATAAAAATTCAAGATAACTCAATGGACTGACTAAGTCAAACAGTCAACTCAACTCACTCAAGCATTAAAATTAAACAAATTAAACAAAAAACAATTACATTGCAAAAAAAACTAAACAAATTTAATTATATATTTCGAATTTTCAATATTGAATTTGGTCTCTGGTATCTTAAAATAGTGATAATATTGAGATATTGAGCTTTTAGATATTGATATTGATATTGATATTGAAATTTCATCCTATTTGATATTGATATTGATATTGATATTGAATGGAAGATATTGATATTGAGCTCAATATATTGATATTGTATTGAAGTCTGTAACATTCGCCCAAATATCACACAGCGACGGAGCGTAGAAAAAAGTACCTATCAACGACTGGCAGGCGTCAGTTACCTTAATTCTACTCGTTTTTCACCGTCTCGACCTTGCCAGTTGATTTTCTGGTCTGTCTAGGGCAAAGTAAAAGTTACCATTTTTAGGCCATCAGTCAAACGACTTTTGATCAGCTTTCGTTTACATGCGAACACAACCACATAGCTGAGTCTCGGATCCTCAGACTACGTGATTGTCATTAAAAACACGGCTCAAACAACCTATTTTAATATGTTTTTGTGTGACAGTTTTATATTAAATCCATTGGAGATGGATTGACCCTTTCCCTTTTCTAGCTACTCATGCTCTGAAATATTAAATAATAACGGTGTTAATTAAGATCTATGACATTATAGCAGCTATACAGTCAGTCTATATAGTCCCTTCACATAGACAGTCTCTGGGGGACCAAGCCTCCGCTCCCGTAATATTCTTCAGATAACACTCTTATCTCTTATATTTCGTGTCCCGGGAGGGTTCCGTGGTATATTTCTTCCCCCACTGAAGCCTCCTTCTCCACAAATATCCGTCGCTAAGGTTCTTATCGTGAGTTATTGCCACGATAAGAGGCTTCGTAATTTTCTTGTCTCTGGTACGACTGTTCTTCACAATTTTTGGCGTCGTTCTCTTTTTCGTCTTTTTTATTCAAAATGGCCGTCTTTTTTCTATTTCTCAGAAATGTTCACCCTTCAATCGAAATTTTAAAATTAAAAATTCTAGAACATTCTGACCCTCCTTCGCAACACTTTTTCGTTCATAAGGCCTTTAGCCGTCCTTTTTACGTCGCCGGAAGGTTGTGCGAATGGCACATACTCCCCGGACAAGTCTCCATCAATGTCCCTATTGATCGCATAACACCGGGTTATCGTCAAGTAGTTATCCAGTTTTCTGTAATCAATCTTACAAATTGCATAAGAAAATGAAATTTATCTACTCCACCTCAACTCATTACGTGTTCACAAATGGCATCGTACTACATCTCACTGCCTTTCAACATTTTCACAAAATTTGCACCATGAGGAGTGTCCTAGATAAAATTTCTTTTCTGACTACTTACGTCGTTTTGCCATAAAACTTCTTTTCGCTTCTGATTAAAAAGTGGGACGTGGCACGGCCACGCACCCGTTAAAATTAACTTAACTTCACTCACCAAGTATAATCAGTCATTTATGCGGTCCTTTCAATATTAAAACTAAGAAACTCCGTGGCTAGGAAAGTTATTGAGTTACCCACCCTTCTCGAGCGAGTTTACTCAAACTTACTATGTCGCCACACAGTGAATTTGTGTCTTACACAGGTTAAAAACTTCAGTCGTGAATAAATAGGTAAATATACTCACCTATGTTCCTTATATACATACATAAATAGCCATAACTAAAATCAACAATTTCAGCAATTTTAACAATTGCAACAATTTTCAAAGTTTGGTCTGACCAAACTAGATCAAAACAGAAAGTTTCACAAGTTCAATAATCAAAACTTGGTTGATTGGTTTAAGTTTTAGCGCACAAATACAATCAAGTTTTCACTCCATCACTTCTCCATCCTGATCTTCGCTGTCTTCCAACACTTTCTCCAGCATTTCCATTGAGTTGCGGGCCGTGCCCCAACTCTCCTGCTCCAACAGCCTCGGTTTGCAGCAAGGTAGCAAGTCCACATTCACCTTCTGCTCCCGGTTCCTGCAAAAGCTGTTGTGAAGACATAGGCTCACGTTTCGTTCTAGGTCAGCTCTTAAGACCTCTTTCTTCTCATCTTCAGTAACACAAGGCGTTCCAGCTACCCGCTTCACCGCTGTGGTGACTGCGTTTCTGTGCGTCAAGAATGCTCTCTTATAGGCTCCTGGTCCTATATCTAGCTGAAATGATTGATAGGCTTCCGTGTTCCTTGACATGTGACGCTTCGCGCGTTCATACATCCATGATGTCATCACTGCACGGAACCAAGGCATCAATCTTTGCCTTGACCATATTCTTTCAATGGCTTTAGGTATCCTCAGAACCTTGCAGGTGGTTCTGAAAAGATCCAATTCACGACTCATCTTCACGTTGCTCAGCTGCTCAGGAGTCGGCACGGCCGTCTCCTGCTGACTTGTGTCCGCGTTAGCCTCCAACCATCTCACTGCTAGCATGGCGCTAACCACCACGATTGACACTTGTTGATTCTGATCGGGCAACCCCGTGGAGTACAACTCCTCCACGTCCCATACTAGGATCAGATTCCCGCGTTTGGGGTACCACAACGTCTGCGCCAAGCAGTGGCAAGGATACTCCCCATGGGTCCTCACTATGTTCCTTCGGGTCCGATACCCTGAGGCTCCCAGCAACGGTTCTACTTCCATCAGGATTCTATGTAAATCGCCTTTCTCTTCTATGGTGGGGAGTTCAGTGGGTAAGGCTCCACTCGCTTTCTGTTTCTCGAACTCACTCACATTGCCTTCGTTCAGTCTCATGAACTCTTCACCCACAACATCTTGCAACTCGCCTTCGGATCTCTTCGGGACTGCCCGAAAGATCTTTGCCAACAAGTCATATGACCTTTCCGACATTCTGGCCAACCTCACGCACTTTGGCACAGAGAAAAGTTGGTCAACCAATACTTGTTGCGTCCTCGCATCCATTACCACCATGTGCGTAGGATACTTGCTATTACAGTATGGCGCGGAGCTTGAACCCACCATATATTTTGAACCAGTAGGTCTGTGATAGGCTTCACTATCCTTCAGATTCATTTCATTTTCTAGAGCTTCTCGCCAGCCCCCAATCTTCTGCTCTGTCTGTAATGCTCCAGAGAATATTTCCACGCTGAGGGACGTCACTAGCTCATGGGCACGCTCCAGGCGCTCGATTGATTCTATCGAACTCGTCATGCTACAAAATCCCAAGGCTGTGATCAGGTTTACGTCCGTCACCCCATGGCAGTCTGCAACCAACTCCATGGCACTCTTATCTGACATGCTCAATCTTCCGTACAATCGTGCCAGTTGTCGATGCTGCTCGCTCAGCGTAATCAGGCAGTGTCCCAAGTTGCAAACATGCCCTTCCATCCTACTTTGTTGAGCCAAGCATGTGCCTTGCTTCAACCAATCGCTCGATGGACTTTCCTCAGGCAGCTCCGTGGATGGATTGCTCTTCCGCTTCGTCGACTTCATGGCCAGCAGATGGTGTATCATGGCCAGATCATGTAAACTCGCATCATCATCTAGGTCTAACGTAATATCCGCCGTCATGTCCCAGATTAAACCGGTATTAGGATGAGGGCACCAAGAAGGCTTCATGAGTTCCCACATCGTCACTAGACTGGTTTTCAAGGGACCGTCCCAAGAACCACAATCAAAACTCACTTGCCCCTTTAGCTCGGGAACCGAAGGTTCGACCACTCGTTCTTCCAAAATAATTCCCAGCTTGGGTTGTTCCACCATCAGCATCCCAGTTTCTTTAATACGTTCGACCCAGAAATTGAGTACCATGACTTGCTCATAGTCGAAGTACGCTTCCCTGGCTTCTTCATTCACGAAGGGATTATACGCCATCCCCGGTATGCCAGACACATATTGGAACGTCTTCAGTTTCCCTAGTGTTGCAAACTCTTTTTGTCCTCTGACCGCTTCAATCAACTCTCGGCTCACTTTCAATTCTTTGTTGGAATATCTTCTCACCTCTTCCAACTTGCGATAGCTTTCCATATCACTCGACTCCTTGCTTGGCACAGTCAATGGCATGTCCTGATATAGTTCCAGGAGTGCCCTAAGGAAGTTCCTTTCACAATCAACTCCCTCCTGCCGAATGATCTTTATGCATTCTCCCAAAACAGGAGTGGGGTTACGATCCACCACGAACCTGACAAAGCAAAGGGCATCCTTACGCTTAGCCTATG